CTTAAATAATTGATATTCCTGTATAAGCAGTTTAAGATTTTCAACTGATATCTTGTCATGATCTTGGTTTTTGATAATTAATCGGTAGTGTTAATAGTTTAAAATGGGTTGAGTTTACTGAGAGGGCACTAATGTCATGGGGGGGGGGGCTATTGCTCTTATTAATTGAATTAATTGTTTAGACAGATAACTGGAATCTCAAGTTGGAGCATATGTGGGAGGGGTCATGTTGCATTCCTTTACTTTTTTGTTCACTCCTTGATGGGGTGTCACATATCATTTCAGATACCCCCCTATAGGTATTCCTCTCAAGCAATTCAATCGATAGAGGAATGTGTTATTGGATTAGTTCAGCAATTACATACTGATGCCTTTTGTCTCAAATTTTCAGACTTGTCGGATTGGATAGGAAAAAGGATCTTAAAGTAGTATAGTTATATTGGCTCTATGTTCTCCAGTTTCGCTCCGATGAGTGCGAGGTTGTGGCTTTTGTATGTCTTTGTTGAGAGGCATGTGCATTAGTCTTTTTTCTCTTTCATAGTATCAACTTGTATTGACATTGTAGTGAATTTATGCTCCATTATAGTGTCAACGAACTTTATGTAATGTTTTGATATTGCCTTGTTGTGCCGACAACTTTTGAGAAATTTACGCTGATAATTTATGCAGTTTTCCTGCGACGTCGTATGTTTCACATTCTTGACACATTTTGGCACCTGCCTTCACATATCTCGTCGCCATGGTTTGTTTTCGTATTTTGACCAATCACAGCTTCCGCTGGTCACGTTTTCGCCACGGAGCTGGGGTTTTTCGTTAGTTAGCCTGCATGATCTCGTAAGATCATCACGTATTGGGTTGATTCACTTTTATAGCGATCTTCGCGATTTTTCATCCAGCAGCTACGGCGACTTAGTGTAGCATTTTCCGTTGGATTTCCACTAGTACACGCCTGTGATTTCTTCACGACAACTGTTAATAGCGAACTGCTTGTTTTCTCTTCGCGACTCGACATCTCGTGACTTCAATTCTGACACTTATGTCACTTGGAATACGCGGTTTATTTACAACGCGCCAGTGGTTATTTTCGTGTACTTTCTTCCTGGGCTAGCATATTTTGATTTACGCTTGTGCTAGCCCGAGGTGTTTATATTTACGTTACTTCATTTTTGCCACAACTTTAGAAGAACGCGATCCGCTTCTCGTACTTTAGCCGAGGCCTCCGGTTATTAGATAGCGTTTATATTACCAACTCTTGCCACAACTAGACTCCACTTCTTCAGTCTTCAGTCTAGTATTTTGTATATAGTCGTCGGGGACATTTACTACGAACACTCCCTCTGTTCCCCAACATTTAGGAGTGTCAATTTCTACAATTCTTCTTCAACGTGTTACACTTGACATTGTATATTGATCAACACACATCGCGATCGCCATTGTCATCTTCATACTACATATATAGGATCACTCTCAAGTTTCTACACAACAAAAGACAGTGGTGAGTAAAAGTCTAGCTCGTACTCATTTTAGTCAGCATAGAATTTTTACAACATCTTTATAATTGCAATCATGTGATGTGTAATAACGAGTACATTTGTAGGTCCTATTATAATTTGTTTTTTTCTTTGGTGATGGATCCTATCTCTGAATGCAATTTGTACTTTATTTGCCTGTTTAAACATCTATGTGTTTTCAAATTTGTTGTTGTTCAGCTACCCTAAATACCCGACGTTATATTATTACCAAGAATGTGTTTCTTCTAACAATAATGACAGAAGAATTATATTTTTTAATAAACGATTTTATCAGTATTGTACTACATGTACTTCAAACTGGATGAGATTTATTCTTTTGCAATTTCATGTCTTTGAATTGTTCGTTTGTGCCATTAAGTCAGTGTAGACAGTCGCGGATCCACATGGCGATTTTTCCGGCCCGCCCCCCCCCCTAGCCTAAAAAATAGGATAATAACGTAAGTTTAACCTTTTTTTAAACAAAAACAAAAGCGGCCCAAAAAAAAATTAAAAACATTTTCGCCCACACCAAAACAAATATCACCCCCCCCCCCCCCCCCCATCCCCCGCTTATTCACAGCCGGTTGAGTCGGCGCTAAATTTGTCCTCTAAAACTGTACCAAAAAAAAATGTGCTTTTACACCCAGCCCCCCCCCCCCCCCCCGTTTTTTTTTTTCATTTTTCACCGGTCGGCGCTAAATATTTTCTAAAGATTTGCCCCCCCCCCCCCCCCCTCTTGTCGCCGGCTGGATCCGCCCCTGAGTGTAGACGCCACATACTTGAAGTCTAATGGCTGCCAGCTGTGCCTTGGTGTGATTAAGAGAGACTTGTTGTGAAATGGGTTGTTGAGATTTTGAGAGGGAAGTCCTGGTCCATCATATTACGAGAAACCGGTAGGACGCCGCTAAAGTAAAAGTATTTGGACTAAGGGCTGTGAGATTCTGAGAGAAGTAAAACATCTGATCAGAGCTAGATCATATTCTGGATCTCCACAGAAACATGATAGCTGTTCAAAACACATCGGTGTTCTCTACTCTATATGTCGCAAATTGGGAACTAGAAGGACATTGATATAACCCTGTGACGTGGTAACGATAGAAGTTTCACTGCATGTCATGAAAACCCTCTGATGTAGCAACAAAATCAAAAAACGATATTCCAGGGCCAATATTATGTTTTCAAGCTTTTCATTACAATGCTGCCCCTCATCACTCATACAATGTACATTTTATAAACTGATACACAATATTTGTTCAAATACTATTTTTCACATTTTCCTGCAATGCCCCGTTAAAATTAAAATTACATCCATGATTTACGACATTCAATATATCTTACTAAGGCAATTCTTCTGAGCTTAATGAAAAATGTATGGGCATGGCTTAATTTTATTTTCAGTAATCTATAATCTTTTTTTGTAATTCTCCTTGATAAATTTTCTGAATTGTTACACGGTTTTAATATAGTTTGTAGATAACCTGTCTAATATTTAATAGGGGGGCAGTGCCTACAAGAAGCCTCCATTGACAAAACATGGCAAACATATTAAGAACAATGCGCTATTTAAGCACATTTTTCGTTTAGGGACAAACATTTGAATCCAATCAGTTGTAAGACCAATTTGAAAGAAGGTTGAATGCACACGAAAGGAATCTAGCTTAAAGAAACCTCTATATTGACCAGGAAAAAGCTGACATAAAAGTAAAGAGCAATATTATTAGGTACGTCGATACGAGGATAAAAGCGAGGGCGCTCTTCAAAATAGATTAGGTTAATTAATTTTTAAAATATGTTTTTAATGTACCCGTGTTTCAAAAATTGATTCTAAAAATATATAATGGCATGAACTATCACTCTACAAAGTTTGAATCATCAATTTAAAGTGCAAGACAAAAAGTTGATCAAACTACCTAAACAGGACAATAACACCATCTTGAACTATAATCCTTCGTACATTCACATTTTGCCATTCAGGATGGATCCCATTCGCGACAGATTGGTGTGGAAATCGATTTACACGTCATGTATTTTACATGCAGGAAAGGGTGTATCACGCCGTTTAATTCCGTTTAATTAAAGGTAGAATTTGCGTAGCAATTAGACGATTTCAGATTTTTGTTTCCCCTGCCATTTATTTATTATGCAGTTCATATGCAAAGTTGAACCTAATACGTTTGTATGTCTTTCAATAATACTTAGTGTAAAACTAACAAAATTATACACATTATGTGGTGAATATTCTAACACAAGAAATCTATAGAAGATTATAGCTGCAATATGTGACAGATAGATGTAAGAGCTGTTGTGTGCGTAGGGTTTGTCACTGCTTAGTGTGTATAATATAAAACTATTCAAATTGTATGATTATTGGATATCACGATGTTAACGATTTTTATGTAAACCCATTTCATGTTAAATAAATCATTCGAATAATAGGAATTTAATTAATCCTGCAGTCGTTTTAGAACAATCAAACCTTGGTATTTATCTATGGTATAGATATGGGCTTTTTTGGTTTACCTTGCATATGTTATTATTCATTATCTCCATACGTTTTCTTTTAATGCACCCCCTCAATAAACTTTATTTTCAGCACAATTAACTTTGAGGTATATATGCTATCATGTTTCTTGTAAATGATCCTCAGCATGAGTGTTCAAGCAGTATTAATTCTGGAGCGATGAATTGTAGTTCCGCTATTCAATTTTGTTTTTAAATACATAAATAGCCTTTCAATTTGAAGAATGTATATTCAATGTCTGAGCTGGCGAGATCGAGCATATAATTTAACCAAAACTGTCAAATGTACGTGCGAACTGAATTGAAGTGACATCAGAAAAGCTACAAGCCTCAAACATATGGTTTATTATCATTATTGTAAGTTGTTATTGTTGTTATTATTATCATTATTATTACTATTATTATTTTCATCGTTATCATTATCATATTCATTATCAGTATTTATATCATGACCAGTACTCTATGTTCGTCTATGTTTCTCTAGCTATACTGACCTTCTTGTTAGTATCACTGTATAGTCTAATTGAGCTGTACCTCTGCACCATCTAACATTCTTCTGAATTCGACTTGGCTTATGAAGATAATTGTTTCCCTTTGAAATAGAACTTTAACCAAAAAACTGCCTATGTACTTAAATGACAACGTGATCGACACAAAGCAGTCATTGGCAATTGCGGATTTTTTCTTTAAGAACGGCTTCTAAGCGGTAGTCTTGTTCAAGACTCAAATGCACCAGAAGTCTTACGAGACTGGAATATATCCGCAGCATTGAACTCAGAATCGAATTAATATAACAAATTTGATATCTATAACACATCTAATTAAGAATTCAATCTGCGATAGAAGTACAAAAAATTCGTTTCATAAAACAAATAACAAGTTGATATAGTCAATAATTAATTGATAGTTCGCGAACGAGTCTAATTGCACTGTCGTGCTCTGAGCTGCGCGCCTATATAATATATACAACTAAAACAACTACAACGCTATATTTATAGACTTTATCTGTGACGATGAACCCAACTTTGGTGCTTGACACGGTTTTCTGTAGAAATCCTGTAAGTACATGTCGTATTTATTCCGTACTTTCTTATTCATAAGGTCATATTAATGTGGTTTTTGATGTTTGAATACTTTTCCGGAGGTTAAACAAAGATTGATTCTGAGAGTGAGAGCTCGAGTAGCCGGGGTGGGTACGTACAGGCGCGAGCCGAGAGCGGAAGCTGCGGGTAGCGTCCGCCCTAGAACTCCCGGGCATTTTCGCAACAGTCCCTACGGCCTACTGTCAGTACTGAGCTGATGTATACTGCACACACATAGACCTCTAGACCCTACATGTAGATTCTAGCTGCATTAAGAACAATAAATAATATTTAATTTGGCGCTAGTGTAGTTCCGTATCCATTTTTTTAGCAGTTTCATATCCATTCTTAGCAAGGAAATTTAGCCCATTTTTTTTACTAATTTTAATTCATAGGTCTAACACTAACGGTTAGGTCTAGACTCTAGATCTAGACATAGAGGGGTCTAGATCTAGACCTAGATCTAGATCTAGACATCTATATCACATTTTCCACCTGAATTTGGATCACATCCGACATCGGGAAACCTCCGTTTAAGGCTTCGATGTCGATGTTGTCGCTCAGTACCGTCTCTACGCTATAGCTTTGCAACTCACACTGAAGCTATCAGTATCAGTCCAAAATTATGCAAACTTCTCGTATGGTTTATGGTATCGTGCATGCGAGAAATGTGCATAATTTTGGACTGATAGCTTCAGTTTGAGGTGCAGAGCTATAGCGTAGAGATGGTACTGAGCAACGACGCCGATGTCGGATGTGATCCAAATTCAGGTGGAAAATGCAAAAGGCCCTAGACCTCTAGATCTATATGATTATGATTCAAATTAGTAAAAAATTGGGCTAAAATTCCTTTGCTAAGCCTAAGAATGGATTATTAAACTGCGAAAAAAATGGATACGGAACTACACTGGCTTTAATTTTTATATAGAGTAAAGTACCCGGTAATCGGTCAGCTCCGGTTTTCGGCCAATTGGTTGGATACATGGTAAAATCACTTTAAAATACATCGCATAATAGCATAACACATATCCCACACATACCATACCATGCCAGTGTCACTGAAGAACCACATTTGCAATGAAAAATATATCCTAAAATATCACATTTTAGCGATGTAATCGGCGGTCCCGCTACCCAAATCTGAAAAATCGAGTTTCTTACGCGTGTATGTAAGAAATATGGGTACCATAAAATGAGCTTTATTTCAAGTATTTTTCAGATATAGAGCCCGATTTTGTGCTGGTCGCAAGCTCAAAAGTATCTCATCGCATGTATTAAATCAATGCAGCCGCACACCGCGACGCACACACGATATGTCTGTCTAATTCAGATTCCAACTTCCGATCACCGCTGTGCCTGTATTCGGCCAGGCGAGCACCCGGGAGCTCCGGCGTGGGATACCTGCTCCGCCCGCTTGTGCTATACATCAGCGCAGAAACGCACGGCGCGCGCGAGCGCTTCCTATTGACTTTGTACATGCGGCCGTAAACTGAAACGCTCGGCCGATAACCGGCTCCAAAACAGTGAAAATTGAAATGAATATTGTCATGGCAATTCGTGATTTTTTTTTGGGATTCTTTTTTTGTTTAAATAATAATAATATTTGCTTCATGATTTGAACAAGAAATGATAATAAATAGGAAGTAAAGAGTCCAATAAATAGGATTTTGTCTTAAGTGGCCGAAAACCGGGTACTTTACTCTAGCGCTTAATACAAAGGCTGAGCGCTTTACAAAAATGTCTCTAAGGCTAAGCGCTTTACAAGTATACAAATATAGACTAGACTAGGGCTAGGCCTACTATCCTTCTTCTTCAAGATAATCTGCCTCCTAGATCTACTCCTAGCTCCTTCAATACTGAAGATTCTTGCAGATGCCTTATACCAGTACTAGGCCTGAGTGATTGGGCTGTGCATGTGGACCATTACACTAGGGTCTAGATTATACTACTTACTAGACCTCTAGCTATAATTTATAGCTACAAATAGTGCAATGAATGGGTTCTTTGCAAGGGTGGTGACTCTCCTGCACACGGGGCCTCCATTTAACGTCTTATCCGAGGGACGTAGTGTTTTCCACTTGACATAACCTGTGCGCTGCGCCTATGAACGAGGGAAGGGGAACGTTAACACACTTCAGTCATCCGCCTGGGTGGGGGTCGAATCCGAGATCTCCCTTCTTAGATCTAGACTAGACCCATATATCTCCATGTTTGGTTCGACAAGCAGACACTTTACTAACTGAGCAAACTCGCCTCCTGGCTGTGTATTAAACGTTGTGCTATTGATTCTCAACATTTCACACAGCACTGTACAAAGCTCAGCCAATTTCACTCAAAATTGGTATTTTACTTTTACTTAGATCTAGACTAGTGACAATTGATGACACCTACTACTAGACTAAAATAGCAGTAAAATACAATTTTTTTCAACTTACAGATCTAGAAGTCTATGTTAGAAAGAATAATTTAAAACTTTTAAGCGTAGGCTTACTGTCAAAATTGCCAATCAGCCACTTCGCATCGTCTTTATTGCGTGCATTCATTTGTTAGGTGTGTATGGACTATTTGTGTGTGCAATTCTGCCTATTAAAGTATTAACACGTAGTGCAGTGCTAAATAGCCAAGGTCAATACGCATTAGCATTGACTCTCTATCCTGCTCCCCCCCCCCCCCCCCCCCATTCCGAAAACGGAGGGACACCATGCGTGTTACCAAAATGTCCGGTAAAGGGGTACTTTTCGTACGACAAAGTCCGGCCTGAGAATTCTAAAAATAGGGGGTGTATTTGACTTTTCACCTGGAGATTTCTTTAAGAAGGGTGTGTTTTTTCTTGTTTCTCTCATCTCTTTGGACTCCTGAGAAATTAAAAAAGGGGATTATAAAATATCTTGAACATAGAAAAATCAATCAAATCCAGGGACTGATGTAGACTATTTTTATACTGTAGTCTATCCTAATTCACACACAGCTGCATTACTATCCTGGCTGTGTCCTGTGTATTGAACCTATATTCTCAACATTTCAAACACCACTGTACGAAACTCAACTGATTTAACTAAAAATCGGTACTTTAGTTTAGTGACAATTGATGACACCTAAAATTAAATAGCAGTAATTACTGATTCATTAAATCTAAAGAGTATCTCTACGAGGATAAAGTACTTAGTTACAGAGTTTGATTACATAAGTCATTCATCATGACAGGTACATTAGTATGTGAAAGGACACAGTCATGCAGACACAGGTGATGTCAGTTAAGAATAATGGAAGGTTTATTTCTAACTAAGTCTCAAAATCAGGCACTAAAGTAATTATTCGCTGGTGATATATTATGCAGATAAGTGAACATAGAACTAATTTGCAGACTTTGTTTATTCTTACAAGGTATGAATGAAAACACGAGCACAGAAATTTGTATGTATTTCATGTGCTAAATGTATGTAATGCAGGCTTAGTTCTTTGGGGTATTCTCTGGGTGTGTGAGCCAACCGGTAATGACAGCTTATCTGAGTAAGGGGGGGGTTGGTCTGCTTTTTCTGAGATAGGGGGTTCATTGAGCAGTGTTCCGGATTTATGGGGTCTCCAAGGCAGGAAAAGCCCGCATAAGGGGCATCCCTAAATTTCGGCAGTCCTCAGATAGGGGGTGCTTTCAAAAAGAGGGAACAAGCATTTGTGTACCCTAAATAACACTGAGTGGGGGGGGGGGGGCGGGCTCTCTATCAGTCTTAGACAGAAATAACCGTCTGATATGGGTCATTTCTTTAATAAAACTGACATTTGTTGACATTCCCCATACACAGATGGTAACCCAGACGACTCACACGGGGGGGGGGGGGGGGGGGGGGGGGGTAGATTGAGCCTTTTCTAGTGCTGTAGCCGAACCGCCGAACCGAACTGAAGTTAAAAAAGCCATAAACAAGAATACATGTGCGTGATCAAAAAAAGTTCAGCTCAAACCCATTCAACAAAAAATTAATATTTTAATTGTAACAATATCGGACAAATTTCACAATATAAATAATGAAATAAATGTATATTATAGTATGGTATTTATTTATTCAGGAAAAATAGGGATTTTATATTTTTTCTATCGAAAATAAACACTTATAAAAAAAACAGTGATCGACGAGCCTGAGTCTCTATTCAAGATGGCAGCTTTCGTGACTCTAACATTAGACAACAACCGTCTCCGAAAATCTTTTAAAAATATCATTTATTGACAAATTGAAAACAAAACATGATTCAAGACGGAAATACGAATATAAGTAGTACTATTCTTCACAAATAATTACGTTAAGAGCAGTTTTTTAATGTGAATTTGAGTGGAAGAAGTCCCCCGTGCTGGAAGGGCCTGGCCGGCCGGCCCGCCGGGTGCCGACCACCGTGGCTATAACGCTGCTTGCTATCATATTACCAAACCCCGAACCGAACCAAGTTCGGGTGAAAAATTGCTGAACTCTGCCTAACCGATCCGAACACGAACATAGCGTCTGATTTACAGCACTAGTCTATTCTGTACCTCTTTTTACTCTGAAATCTGCCCCCCCCCCCCGATTTTCGATATTAAGATCTGATTTTCTGATTTATAAAGCAAATAGAAAAAAATTTAGACCCTATATTTTTCTCCTATTCACAGTTTTTATGACTTATTTTCAAATGTGAAATTTACGGAATTACGTGTATGAGTTATCCAATTTTTATTTCAGAACCGTGAAACGGTACGTTCATGCATTCATTCTGGTAATCTATGACATGACCCGGCCGATATATTTCCGGGTCAACCTACCAAAACATAGCCAATGGCCAATTAGAGCACTCGTTTAATATTGGGTTTATGAATATTCATATGTCACCTGGTCAAGCCGGGCTGACTCGTACGTAGCTATTGGACGTTCGACATGAAAAAAATGAATATTCATCAACTAAAACCAAGATGGCTCACAACGAAACATGTTGACTACGAGACTTTCTCGGATTAATCATTATCCCCTCGCCAACGAAGTCGGAGGGGATATAGAAACACTGCCGTCCGTCCTACCGTGCGTCCGTCCGTCCATAACAATTTTGGATTCCGATCAATAACTTCGGTAATGTTTGACGGATTTTAATGAAATTTGATATGAAGGTTCATGGTATCAAAACACAACCCAAGTTCGATTTCGGAATATGGAGGTCAAAGGTCATAGCTCATTATGATTAAATATGCGAATCTGGTTTCCATTCGATAACTTGAGTAATGTTTGACAGATTTTAAAGAAATTTGATATTAAGGTACATAGTATCAAAACACAGCCTAAGTTCAATTTCCGAGTATGTAGATCAAAGGTGAAAGGTCATAGCTCATTAAATATGCAAAAACACCTAATTATATATGTGAAATGTGGTTAACTTCCTTGCCTAGTAATATAATAGTATAGTCCAATGGAGGTAACTTGTTCTGATGCACATTTGTATATACATGTAGGTCATTTGTACCCTGCGAGGGGATGGTACGCTTTGCGTTGACTTGTTAATTTAGGATCTAAATGAGCAAGCTATCGTAAGTCAAAGTAGATATTTCTAAGTTATTTTTTACTTTTTAATATAATCAAATGTAATTTTACAGCCAAAGTGAATATATGAGGATGTAAAGAGTAAAAATTTTGTTGCATATCTCATTCATCGCGGTCCTGTTAAACCGAACCATTTGTTCCACTCAGTCACCATAGGACGTACTTCAGTCTATGTATAGAGGCGGTCAGAGGAGCCAGATGCAATTTCAGCAGAACAACCGTCGATATTAGAGACTGAAGCTTTCTGTCTATATCAGTCTATGCTTTGCTGGAGTGAAATACTGTAGTAGTAGATCTACTGTAATCCGTTGCTGTTATCCGGACTTGGCTGTCGGATTTAATAAATTTAGAATTGAAAATTTCATTTTTATTTCAAGGGCAGGCTAAGCTGTAAGCAGCCAAAAAAACAGCTCCTGCAATAAACTGCAAAACCCCAAACAGTGTTTAGATTTCACTAACTCCATGCTATACATGTATATGCTTCAGAGAGCTCCGCCTACGGCCACTGAAGGGCTTCGGCGATGGAGCTCCCTGGAGTAAAGATTTCACTAGACTTTAGTTAAATTAGAATTAAAATAGAAATGTAAGTAATCTAGAGTCTAGTCGGTAGACAGTAGGAGGACTAGGAGGCAAATTGGCTCAGTCGGTGAAGCGTCTGCCTGTCGGCCCAAAGATCTTGGGTTCGAATCTCACCCAGGCGGATGACTGAAGCAAGCATTGTGCGTTACCATGCCCCTCCCCTTGTTGTTTCATAAACGCAGGCTATGTTACGTGGAAAACAATCCATCTCTCGGATAGGATGTTAAAAAGAGACCCCATGTACAGGATAGTCACCACCCTTGCAAGTTAAGAACCCACGGCACTATTCGTATAAGAATAGGGGAAAAACCTGGTGTAGTGGTCTACCTGCACAGCCCACTCAGGCCGAATATATATAAATATACGGCATCTGCAAGAATCTTCAGTACCGGTATTGAAGGATAGGAGGCAGATTATCTTCAAGAAGGAGAAGAAGTATACTGCACTCTGCAGTGTAGTGCAGTCTCGTGCCTAGTCATGCTAGTGGTTTCTAAATTTACTCTAGAATATTGATCTTGTTTTGGCGCAGTCTTGACTCTGTGTCTTAGTTTACGTCAAGACTCTGTCTCTACTCTTAGTCTTTAGACTGCAAACATTGTAGCAGTGACTGTTGTTTTCAGTCACTGAGTCTGAATGTGAACCAAGCTATTTTAAGAATAAATTTTCCCCCTCTCTTTTACAGGAAATATACAGAGTGTATTACCAAATGCTTGCTTCTTTGAGTATGTGCCTGAAACAAGAATGTCTTGGAGAAACAGACCACCACAAGAGAAGGTAAACCTTTTTTTATTTAAAAAAAAAAATTTCTTGGACTTTTTAAAACTTGATCTGTTTAGTTTGTCAAGTAAAAGGAAATTTTTAAATGGGTGCGGGCATTAAATAAGGCCAAGTTGGAGGGGTATGCAAAGGGCTGGTTTGAGAAGTATCCATTCAGGGGTGGCTACATGTATGTGTGCAACAAGATGTCTACTAAAAAGTTGCTCTAGTGTTTATTTAAAGTGTATTTTAACTTTCAATATATATAGTTTTTATAATTAACATTTGAAGGCCATGAAGAAGGGATGGGGAGAGTCCTATACACGAAACAGAATGACAAGCAAAAAATTATTGACTATCCAATTTTGCTGAAAAAAAAGTTAACATTGAAGACAACTGAAAGAAAAAAAAATGCAATTTTTGTGTATTCTTACATATTTGGATAATATTTATTGAATATTTGTATAATTCTGTTCCAGGGATTGAGAGGAAAGCCTTGCTGTTGAGAGATCATGGGGTGCCTTGAGGTTCCACATCCAGTCTTGATGTTCTACCCCTTACCTCAAAGCGATGGACTCTTGTGCCTGGCAATATATGAGCGAAGCCAGTGGCGGATCCAGGGGGGAGCCCGGGGGGCCCGGCCCCCCCCCCCCCTTGAGAAAAAAATCATGTAAAATCACGTGATTTTTACCTTTTTGGGGGTTGGGCCCCCCTCCCCTGGCGCTCAAGGGGGGGGGGGGGGTGCAAATTGAAAATTTTTTGAGGATCAAAAAACAAAAAAAATGTGCTCACTACCCCCGGCCCCCCCCCCCCCCCCCCCCCCCCCCCACTACTGAGCGACTTTTCGGCCGGCGCGATTTTCAAATTTTCGGGAGCAAAAAAAAAAAAGTTGGGCCCCCTCCCCTAACAAATCCTGGATCCGCGCCTGAGCGGATTGAGAGGAAGGCCTTGCTGTTGAGAGATCATGGGGTGCCTTGAGGTTCCACTTCCAGTCTTGATGTTCAACCCCTTACCTCAAAGCGATGGACTCTTGTGCCTGGCAATATATGAGCGAAGCCAGTGGCGGATCCAGGGGGGAGCCCGGGGGGCCCGCCCCCCCCCCCCCTTGAGAAAAAAATCATGTAAAATCACGTGATTTTTACCTTTTGGGGGGTTGGGCTCCCCCCCCCCCCCCCACCCCCACTGAGCGACTTTTCGGCCGGCGCGATTTTCAAATTTTCGGGAGCAAAAAAAAAAAAAAGTTGAGCCCCCTCCCCTATTAAATCCTGGATCCGCGCCTGAGCGAAGCACAATGGACTGGTAATTCATAATGCATATTACAATGTTTTTTTTAACAAATCAGGGAAAGAAACAGAGAGAAATTCATAGCATATGAGTCTGTCATGGCATTTTTAGTAACTCAATATTTGCTCCTGCAACGACTACTCTAGGCTTTATTTTGTCAAAGGTGTAGGGTTAGACTGAGGGTTGGAATTGGGATTAAGGTGGTTTAGGTTGAGGGTTAGGCCTAGGGATGAAGTTTAATAGTGTAGAAAATTTATGTGAAGCAATTGTCTCAGGAGAAGGTGTCGTACAACTTGATTTTCCAGGTGCTGGTGGAGCTGCATGTATCTCTTACTCATCAATGGTAGTTTTAAAATCTTCCTCTGTATTGTGAAAGCAGCAACATGATGAAGAGTGGAAGGGAAAAAAGTATACAACACAGTATCATTTACAATAGATTTTATAAAGTAAAAACACACTGGCCTGCAGTTTGTGAAACATGTAGCACTGTATTACCAGTTAAAAGAATTCAGCAATTTTTACAACGTGCTCTATTGGCATTTATTTACTGGTCATGTTGTAACACAAAATGAATTCTTAACTTTAATCCTGGATCCATTGCTAAACATATTGTCAACCCTAAATATATTAAAGTAGCCACACGAAGAATCAAAAGTGTTTTGAATTGATGCACAACTCATATCATTGCGAAGGGGAAGCCTTGCTGATCAAATACAACAACTCTTTTCTTCAAAAGATGTTTGGGGCCAGCAGTAATCAACTCTCAAAAATGTTAGTTTTGAGATCCAGATTTTCTGCCTTAATCAGCGGTCCTTTATAGAGCGTCAATATTAGTGACGTCACATACGGGACACGGCTGGCTAGCTACATACTACTACACGGCACTGAGCTGTTTGTCCAGTGTGTGACGTCACTATTCAGAGCTCGCTACGCTCGTGTGTTTGGCTTACGTTCGGGGGCGCTTGGGGGTCTAAGAAGGGTCTTGAAAAATTGCATTTTACGCCTTTCCATGATATCTATATGATTTCTCAGCAAATTATTCGTGTTTTTCAAGAGAAAATCTTTCCATCCACATGTAATTTGTTCTAATTATCAGTTGTTAGTGAATTTTTTTTGTGTAGCTCATTTAAACATTGCCGGACACAATTTCGGGCTACCCTAAATCCCTTTCTACATACCAGTATTGTTCAAGGTTCATATTTTATTACACCCTTACTGCGAGTTCTAGAAATTCTGCAAGAACCCTACCCTGCTGTTCACTTTATAATTAGTACTGTACATTGCTTTCATGAACATGCCATAAAAGTGAGTTTATTTTATGTCTCTATACAAACAGGTGCCTGTACATGTAATGTATTTCATGCAAATGAACGGTAGAATGAGAAGCTCACGATGATATGGTAGACAAGGACCTTGCTGTCCAAAGCTTGGAGGCCAGATGACAGTGTCTGAAGTAAGTCGCCCCATAGAAGAGCGAGAACTTTATGTTGCAATTGTTAACCAACACATCCTTACCACATGCAACCCATCCCACTTTTACAATATATTCTCTTTAACAACAGTAACCCAAGTTCAACGTCTGGATTGGTGATTTTAAACAAAAATGGGGGTGGTAGGGTGGTCAGCCTAGCAGAACAAGATCTAAATATGTCATATGGCTGTATCTTGGATGTCCTGGAGGTAGTTGCCCGAGAAGTAAACAAAAAATAAAAATGATTGGACACCTTTGGTTGTTACAACTCAGATCAGAATGAGATTTTTACACTGTAAAGTTGCAGTGTCAAGTATTTTTGGAATTCAATTCTATGATTTCTCTGTGAATGCCATTTTAAAAACAATGGCCTGAATGTTTAATTAGATTTTTTACACAAACGTAGTATATTATTAATGAAAGGCATGTTTGGTAATACAGTAATTTCATTTCAGACCATGAAGACCATGTATTATTATAATTATCTGGGATCTGTCGTTGGGCTGATAAGCATGGAAAATAAGGAATGTACTCCTGTCGAGCGAACAATATGTTTATATAAAACTAATAGCCCTTTGAAGATTACTTACTAGAAGGTGTAGAACAAGAAAAAAACGAAGAAGAAATACACTGATGATGTCAGCTTTACTTCTTAAAGTTGTATACTATTTGAAAATAGTTTATATTTTATTCATGAACAGCCGGCTTGTCAGAATTGCGTACAAGGATGCCATTGGACTTTGCTGTACTTGGAGCTGAAGGGGAGCAGTCACCAAAAGGAGCGTGCAACTCGAAAACAATGTGGATACCTCTACCGAGTTCATCTCAAATAACATGGCTCTTCAAGAATCAAGGTGTGATATTGGATGTACATGTAGAGGGGTTTGTGACCCTCCTGACTGTGGACTACTTGCAATACACATAAACTCAATCAATGGATTGTAGAGGAGTAATGGTGGGTCCGGTGAGCTCAACTTTGGAGGTTACTTTCGCAAAATTAATAAAGTTCCTTTTAATTTGGGTGTATATGGTTCCAGGGATTAATTTGACGCAATGCCTTGTAGTGACACGCCCATTTAAGGGACAACACGTCTCAGAAAGTATAAAATGGGAAGCAGTTTCTGAAGTGGCGCGAGCTTTTATTTTTCGGGTGACTTCCTCATTTTGTTTCATACTCCATTTCCTTTGCGGCCATGAAGTGCTAAAGTTTTAGCGGAGTTTGGGGCATCCAGCCCATAGATATGACTTTTCGTGATTATATGTAATAAATTGTAATAAAGTTACTATCCACTTCAACACTTGACTCTTGTCGAGAATTTTATTTCTTCGTGTGGACTTTGTTCTTCTCTGGAACGCGAATTGGGCAGGGTGATAGAAGGCCACCGGCCACTCAGTAGCCGGAGCTGTTTCATATATAAAAAATGTTTGAAGACAAACGACTGCATTATAAGCTCAGCATGATCAGTAACATTGATTCCTTTTATGAGGAATATCAATTTTTGTTCCTCCCAACCATGAGTTGTACATATTCTTTGATTCGGGGAGGGGTTGGTGGAGAGGGATAAGTGCCCCATATTGTGTATTGTAACGGGTTTTGTTTTCTACATGAGGAGACGAGGATAATAAATTAATATAGCAGAAAATTATAATTGCTAGGTCCTAAGTAACATTTTTCCATCACCTATATCGTTTACTTTTATTCAAGTTTATATCATTTTAATTTGTTTCTCTTGCCTGAAGGTGGGCGGGTTGGATTTCCGATATATTTTCCCCAAAACAGTGATGTCGGGGAAACATTTCATTCCCCCTCCCATACAGGTCTAACCATCATTGGACCGCTCTACATAGCGTCTTGATTTACATTGTGTCTCCATGTATCCATGTATACTATTGTGTGACAAACATTAACACTAGTATTTCAGTAAGGAACAAGAGAGAGAGAGAGGGTTGGAGGCAATTAGAGAGGGGGAAGGAACACGATGAGCAAGACGGCGAATGAGGCAATAGAATGAGTTTAGAGAGGGTGGGGAAGGAGGATCGAGAGAATAGAAGGGGACGAGGCGAGAAGGAGACTGAGTGTGGAAAACAGAGGGGGTGGGGTAGGAGGAAGAAGAGAGAGGTATATAGAGTGGAATAGGGTAGAAGGGAGGAGATGGATCGAGTGAGGAAAAAGAGGATGAAATGGGAAAGAAAATGGAGGAAGGGCTAGAAATGAGTGGGACAATAATGATATATGCCCGATATATAAATTGAGGCTGAAAGAGGAGGAAGGCAAAGAGATGTGAGGTGATATTATATACAATGAGGAGACTCTGTGAAAGCAGGGAGAAAAAGAGGAATTAATAGGGGGGTGGTTAAAGGGGGAACAAAAAGTAAAGGAAACAGAGAGGAACGGTGGAGCTGAGAGAGCGAGGTTAGAGAGGGGCAGTGGCGGATCCGGGGGGGGGGGGCGTCCCCCCTTCAAAAATAAAACGTGTAAAAAAACACATTATTTTTGGGGGGAAGATGCCCCCCCCCCTGGCATTCAAGGGAGAGGGGGGGGATGCAAATTTTAGAGGCCCCCCCCAAAAAAAAAAAAAAAAAAAAAATGTGCTCACTACCCCCACTAAGGGGAGGTTAAAGGGGGAACAAATAGTAGAGGAAACAGAGAGGAACAGTGGAGCTGACAGAGCGAGGTAGAGAGGGGCAGTGGCGGATCCGGGGGGGCGTTCCCCTCCCCCCATTGAAAATAACACATTAATTTTACCTTTTTGGGGAGATGCCCCCCCCCCCCTAAATAAAGTGTGCTCACTACCCCACTAAGGGGAGATTAGAGAGGGAACAAAAAGTAGAGGAAACAGAGAGGAACGGTGGAGCTGAGAGAGCGAGGTTAGAGAGGGGCAGTGGCGGATCGGGGGGGGGGGGGCGGGCCGTCCCCCCTTCAAAAATAAAACGTGTAAAAACACGTCAATTGTACCTTTTTGGGGAGATGCCCCCCCCCCCCAAAAAAAAAAAAAAAATGTGCTCACTTCCCCACTAAGGGGAGGTTAAAGGGGGAACAAACACGTTAATTTTACCTTTTTTTTTGGGGGGGGGGTGCAAATTTTAGAGAGCCCCCCAAATAAAGTGTGCTCACTACCCCACTGAGGGGATATTAAAGAGGAAACAAAAAGTAGAGGAAACAGAGAGGAATGGTGGAGCTGAGAGAGCAAGGTAAGAGAAGGGCAGTGGCGGATCCGGGGGGGGCCGTCCCCCCTTTAAAAATAAAGCGTGTAAAAACATGTTAATTTTACCTTTTTGGGGAGATACCCCCCCCCCCCCCCTGGCGCTTAAGGGGGAGGGGGGATGCAAATTTTAGAGGGCCTCCCCCAAAAAAATTGCTCACTACCCCGCCACAAACCCCCCCCCCCCCCCCCCCCCCCACTGAGTGCATTTTCGGCTGGTGCGATTTTCAAATTTCCGGGAGCAAAAATTAAAAAAATTGGGCCCCCACCCCTAAGAAATCCTGGATCCGTGCCCGGAGAGGGAAAGCAGGAAGAAAGGGGGATCGAGAGAGGGACCAACATTAATGAGAAGCGGAGAAAAGGGAGCGGAGGTGGGTAGGGAAGAAGGCGAAAGGGGGCATTCTTTGGATTTAAGAGGGCGGCCGGCCGGGTAAGGGAATAAGGGCGTATACTCCGTGGAGCGTTTAGGAAATGAGGGGAAATGAGAAGAGCTAGCGCAGGATAGTGAAGGGAAAGAGAAAGGGAGAAAGAGCGCGTGCAGGGTGGAGGGAAGGAGGATTGGGAGGGGGGGGGGGAATAAGCAGGTCGACCGGAGAATGAGTTGATGAAGGTTTGGGAAAAGGGAGTGAAGGAACTAGGGGAAAGGATTGGATAAACTGGGATTAACGGATAAGAGCGAATTAAAGACGGTGGAAAAGAAGGTAGAAGAGGAAAGTTGGAGGTGAATGGGGAAGGAGAGAATGAAAGGGGAGAGAAGAAAGAAGGAGAAAGTGGTAAACAGAGAGCTAGAGAGGGGAAGCGGTAAGGCAAGGGGAGAAGGGGAGGGATGAGCAAGCCGGCGGAAGAACGAGTTTAAAGAGGATGGGGGAAAGATGATTGGGTTTACGGTGAAGAGAGGGAAATGGCTGAAGGGGTGCATGGGGGGGGGGGCAGGGGAAATCAAAGGAGAATGGGGGTGAGGAATCGAGAGAATAGAAGGGGACGAGGAAAGAAGGAGAGACACTATAATACTCAGGTGATAAAGAGGAACAGTACGTTACTGTGGCAACCTTGTAATCTGGATAACATTAATGTAAGAGGTAATAGTCTACTCACAAGACGCTTTTATGTTAATCGAGGGTCTATAAATAGGGGTAATTTCAATGTATAGCTCTTTTAAAATTTCATACAATCGGCCTAAGAACAAATGAAACTCCTAACTTCACTACAACCTTTGTTTTTGTGATTAATCGGTACTCTTTACCGCTAGGTTCTTTCAAAGCTATGATCATGCTTAACTCGTTGTTTATGCATGCATGAAGCATTGCCCCTACCCCCCTAAAATATAAACAATTGAATTAAAAAAAGTTACGTCAGTGCCAACAAATCTAAATTAATAAGTGAACATGAAACAAATGAAAAGCCTACACAGAGGAGCATGCACGCGTTTTATGTTATATCATTTATAAGTTTCATTGCTCATGCGATTAAAAATATGTAAAGTCTGAAGTAAAGAAAACTCATCAGACCAGTGTACTATCAGGGCGCAAAAATTACACAATCCTACAGTTCACTACTGTTCTATAACTCTAATCCAGGTTACAATAGTTCCAGTACATTATTATTGCAACTTTGTCACCTGGATTCGGATTATATATATTCTGCTCTGATATATACTGAGCGACTTTGGGTAACCTGCTTCGATACCTTACTGTTACTGTATTGGTATCGGGTGTAAATGTACACTCCATGAGAAGTCAACAAGTCGAACTATCTACGAACGGACACTTCAAAACCACACCGTAATTGCCTCTTCTAGCTCTTCTAGCCCTTCTACTCCAAAAAGGAAAGCAACGACACCCAAAAGCAAAAAAGGGTCAAATTCGGAGAATAAAAGAGAAGCTTGTTTTTCACCTAGCTCACCACCAACAAAGGTAAATAATCAAACAAACACATTTAAATTTCATCTCTAGATCTAGGTGTACCTTTCTTGTCGGACCAAAATCCTTCATCGCTTGGTCGAATTGTAAAAAAAGGTGCAATGTCATGAATGTACTCGATCTTGCGTCTTGTGACAATCTTTGATTTGTTTTTGTTCTTTACTGTTCCCTTTCTATAGCTTTCTTCCCCCTTAAAAAAAAAATCCCTTTTTTCTGCTACTTAATTCAATAGGCTACAGTGAAATGAAAATCTTTGAAATTAGTTATGTTTGTAGACTCTTTCTTGCATTATTGTGATATTTGTTCTCGCCTATAAGGCGAGAACAAATATCACAATAATGCATTATAATATCATTATAATGATACAAATATTGTATTCCTGAATGTATGATTTTTTTTATATTTTTTTTGCAAATCAGCACCATCACCTAGATCTATGTTTTTGTATTTTTTAACAAGCAATTATTCATACTGAATGTGTATTTTGGTATCCCTACAGCATGTTACTAAGAGGCTACATGTTTCTGGAACACCCAAGTCCAAGACGAGGATCAACTTCCAGCCATTGATTGAAAATGAATCTTCAATTGATCCAATGCCACAACGAGGAAAACAAGTTTAGGTGGGGTTTATGAATTTTGTTGGTTTGATTGACTCCCTGGCAATAATTTTCTATTTTGTTAATGCATTCATCTGACATTTGGTGTTAGACCAAAGAGTGCCAGTAACTCGTTGGTTAGACTGCAGAATCATATATAAAGGCCAAGTCCAGTCCCAGAATTTCTTGGTATTTATAAAAGCAGACAAATGGACAAACAGATTTTTTAAAAGTTTGAGGAAAATCAGACTGATGATAAATATATATATATATATATATATATTATGCAAATATAGGGAATACTATAGGTAGGCCCTAAAGTTGTTTCATTAGGAGAAAATGGAAACTATTTTCTTTCTCCCTTAATATCTCGGGTCATAAGTTGACTGCTAGCAGTTATGCACTTAAATATGACAGTTGTTTATTAAAGGTACTATGTTCCATTCGCAGGCCCAAAAATGAAAAGGTTAAAGGGATCGTTTAACAATGTTAAATCTGAGATACATGGCCCTACGTATTATCAGTGTCTGTGATATGGTGTAATATTGAAGCCCTACAAAAATTGCGCTTCAAAATGATCAAGAAGTGCCGCAAAAAAGTA